AGAAGAAGAGGGAGAGAGAATCCTCAAGCAGGCTTACCACTGAGTGTGGAGCCCAATGCAGGGCTTGATCCCAAGACCCTGAGATCATGGCCTGAACTGAAACAAGAGTCAGCCTTTCATCCAACTGAGCTACTCAGGTGCTCCGTCCCCACCATTCTTGACTAAAGTGGCATGATGGTCATCACTCATGTCACTGCATAATCCATTTCCATATTTTATTTTTCTTTTTCAGTAACTATGTCACTTGTCATATTATTTATTTTTAAAATTAATTATTTTTAAAATTTCATATAAAGCAAACTTTATTTTTTTAATTTAAATTTAATTAACATATAATGTATTATTAGTTTCAGAGGTAGAGTTTAGTGACTCATTAGTGCATATAACACCCAGTGCTCAATAAATCACATGCCCTCCTTAATGTCCATCACCCAGTTACCCGATCCCTCCACCCACCTCCCTTTCGGCAGCCCTCAGTTTGTTTCCTATAGTTAAGAGTCTCTTATGGTGTGTGTTTCTTGTCTTTCAATTCCACCAAAATACCCATGAATGCACAGACCTTTGTTTGCTGCTTTCTTCTATATCCAGGACAGTGTCAGGCATAAGTAGATGATTAATAGGTAGTAAATGAAGTAATTGCATTTTTTTTCTATGTAGAAGAAGTAGATGTAATAAACTACAAACCTTTTAATATTTTAGATAACATTCTAGAATGGGTAACTGAAATGAAGATTTGTAGTTATTGAAGAAAGAATGTGAAATTTTATTTGTGTGGCATCTAAGCTCATCTGTAAAATGGGGATGATAATATCTTTTTAGTCTAATACAAAAACTTAATATGATCATTAAATGAGATGATATGTAGGAAGCATTTGGATTCTACCCAATATTACAACATCCAGTCTTTATATGACTATCTTGTGAATGAGAAGTTTGTGCTTTGTGCTTTGTACTTCATTGAAATTCGGATGTTTTATTTTTCCCAATTTTTTTTTCTGATCAGTAAAAGATTGGTTAACACAAACTTGGAACATATGTTACTAGAAAACATCACTATTTGTTTCAATAATGAAACAGCATTATTTTCAATAACCTAGATTAGCATTTTGAAAGCATGTTAAATTTCATAGATGCTGAAATCTTGAGAACAATAGCTAATTCAATGAATTAGGAAATTAATGTAGAAAAATGTTGATGAGCTTGACCCTGGGTCAAAATAACATGCTGCAGCAAAGGGAGGAGAGCTGAACTTTGACATCATGCTAGTTATTTCACAAATATAGTTCATTTAAGGCTCACGATAAAACTAAACAACTAGACATTATCATACTCTTATCCAAACACTGAAACCAAATCTCAGAGAGGTTAAGTAGCTTTTTTAAGGTCACAGAGCTAATATGATGTAGACTGAATGCAAATGGGTAACTCTAACTTTGAAGTTCATGCTCTTTCCTTTATGCTGCAAAGATTCTTCTGTATAGTGCAAAAAAATATTAGTCAGATTCATAATGAGGATTAAGTGGCAACACAAAAAATGGACATTACCCTTAAGCCATTAGATATGGTTGTCAAAGAATAACTAAACTAAAGCTTAGATTGTGTTCTGAGATTGGTGGATGCATAGAAATGGTGGTGTAAACCCAGATCTATACTGTGCTGGTCAGATCATTCCGGTAATTTTATTTGAATTTGGATATCATAATTTAAGGATCACGTAAAAACTGAAAATATTCCAGGATGAGTATTCAGGATGACTAAAGTCCTTGCAAAATATCCAAAGAGAAATGGTCGATGGAATTAGGGATGTGTTAACTGGGGTGGGAGAGGGGAAGGGGTCTGAGGTTACTAACAGTCACCTCAGAAATTTCAGTCATTCAATACAGCTCTAAAAAATAAAACTATGATTATGAGAAGCTAAGTTTCTTGGGTGAAATACGTTATTGCGGGAGTCCTTGAGTTCTCTGTAACTGGAAGAGTTCAAAGAAAACAAACACTATCATGGTAGGAAGTTTCAAGAGGCATCCAAGTATCAAAGAGGAGATTGAACTGGATAACCTTTGTATCTGTTCTGACGTATCTGGATTTCACGTTTTGTCAGGAAAGACTGTTGGTCTGCATCCACCCATTAGAGGTTTCAGGGCCAGCAATTGGGTGGCTATCTCATCCTACTGAGAATGATAAACGTATATATAATTAAAATGTTATCTGGATCTCAGCTGAGGCCTTATGCTCTCCAAGAGCCATATAAATAGACTTGAACACCAAATTTTATGCCTTGAGGAAGTGCTCATTCTTTGTAACATGAATTATTGGAGTGGAAGATGGGTCAGCAGGAGAGGTTTGCATTTTTTAGGTTTCCAGATTCCTGAACTAGCATAGAACTGAAACTAAGTTTTCTCAAAATCAAAATGAAACAAAATAAAGCAAGAATCCCAGGAACACTAGCGAATTGAGTGATACTTACTAGAGCTTAAACTGGGGAAGGTGGAGAGGGGGTGGGGTTTATATGGCAGCAAAGTAACTAAACTGGTCATGAGCTTTGTCTGATTTTGAAATGTCCCTGAGCCACCAGCCACACAGGAATATCACTGGCCTTTTAATCCATGTTGGCTTTATTCTCTTAAAACTCAATGATTCTTCTTTTTTCTCTTTCCTCCTCAATTCCATCTCTCATTCCCTACCTCAGAACTGCCTTAGGAATTTGTTTCTTCCCACTCTTTTTTTTTCTTCTTTTTTTAAGGATTTTATTTATTTACTCATGAGGGATACAGAGAGAGAGGTGGAGACATAAGCAGACGGAGAAGCAGGCTCTCTGCTAGGAGCCCTGAGCGGAACTTGATCCCAGGAGCCTGGGATCAAGACCTGAGCCAAAAGCAGGCTGCTCAACCACTGAGCCACCCAGGTGCCCCTGTTTCTTCTCACTCTTCAAGGGAGGCTTCCCCAGCCCTCAAATTCTGGAATTCACCTCAGTCTCATCATCACAAGGCTGCAACTTACCAAGGCGCTCAGTAAAATAGAAGGACATGCTCTTGGTAGAAATCACCATCCTTAGAGACAGTATTAGCATTAGAACAATTTACTAGCATTTCAAATTTTATTGTTTTAGTCATCACACAATGGAATTGATTTTTAAAAATACGAAGTGCCTGAGGAACTTTTTTGGTCAAATTCCCTATTCTAAGATTAAATGGAAAGAGGAAGTATAGCATAATGATCTGGAGGCAAAGAGATTTTGTTTCTGAGCTTGTTTCAACTTGACTGGCTGTGCCGCACTGGGCGGCTACTTAAATTCTCTGTTTTTTTGGTTCTTTCATCTCAAAAAGGAATTAATAGCAATGTGTTGGTGCCATCTGGGTTAAGTCAAATAATGTGTATGTAGAGTACTCCGCACACTCCCTTTCATCTGGTCAGTGTTCTGTAAGTGTTAACACCATTACTAATAAAATTTCCCCACTCAAAAATCTTTTTAAATTTTCTAAACTCAAAATAAATTTTTCAATGACCACTGAAAATTTAGTTTGACAGACTTTGAAGAATATACTAAGGATATTTACCGCTAATATTTTTTCTTCTGCCTATCATTTGCCAAACTGTCACTAAGATTTCTTGAAAATACACTTCAATGGTTTTTTGTATTGAAAGCAATTTATTTGACTGGCAGAATGATAGAGGAACTATTAGTTAAATACATTTTGCCGATTTTACAACTTTCCCTGGTAGCATGATATCAAGATTAGATACTCTGATCCTAAATAATCAAGCTGACCTTCGGTAAAATTGTAAATTAGAAATAGTTTAATTTAGTACCAACTTTCTTTTCACTATATCTCTATCCTAGCCCTAGAGAAAGCTCCAGTCCTGTGCTGTTGGATAGGATATCCACTATCACATGTGACTATATACATTTCAATTAAAACTCATTAGAATTAAATATAATTTGAAATTTGAAATTCAGTTACTCAGCTAGACTAGCCACATTTCACACTCTCAAAAGCCATATAACTAGTCGATACTGTATTGGAGTGTGTGCATATAAAAATTTTCCACCATTGCAGGAAATTCTATTGGACAGTGCTGCCCAAAACTCAAATAGTTTGTATCCTTTCTTGATCTGGCACCTTCAAAACTGTTTCCTGTTAGATGTTATCACACTAATGCTTCTCCCTCTGAGATTTTCCTGTCCTTTCTCTTATATTATCCACCAGTAGAAAGGAGCTAATGGAGAGAGAGAAAGAGAGAGAGAGAGAGAGAGAGAGAGAGAGCTCTGAGATTGTTTCCATAAATGAATGGATAACTATTTATCTTCTACAGCAGTATTTTTCAGAAAGTGGTTCTAGGATGATTGCTATCTGAATCAACTGAAATAGCTATTTAAATGTGAGATTCTTGGGCACCATATTAAACCTTCTCAATCTGTCTTTTGAATCAGCTTTCTCAGTCATTGTTGTGGAATGCTGAAGTCTGAGAGCCATTGCTGAGAGGAACAACCATTCTGGGTATCCAGTAACCATGAGCCTTATAGTTGGATGTTGATTTACATAGAAATGAAATGTAATGCCAAGTTTAGGTAGCAGAGGAGATATTTTGGAAGGGTTATTTTATTTTTTAAAGATTTTATTTATTTATTCATGAGAGACACAGAGAGAGGCAGAGACATAGGCAGAGAGAAGCAGGCTCCATGCAGGGAGCCTGATGTGGGACTTGATCCCAGGACAGCGGGATCATGCCCTGAGCCAAAGGCAGATGCTCAACCATTGAGCCACCCACGATTATTTTTGTTGATCTTCAAATTCTACGGTAGAAGGCCATCTGCTCGTAAGCTCATTGCAGATCTACTTACTAGCATAGTTCAATTGGTAAAGCTTACTTACCTAAGAGAATTTAAAAAGAAGTTTACTCTTGACATGAGATATTTTCTTTATTAATGTTTTAGAATCATGTTTTCTTCTTAATGCTTTCATTTTATTATTATTATTTATTTGCATATTTACTTTATTAATGAAAAAATGGAATGCTTCAAGAATTCGTATGTCATTCTTGTTGTGCAGGGGCCATGCTAATCTTCTCTGTATAATTCCAATTTGGGTAAATGTGCTGCTGAAGTGAGCACTATTATTATTTATTGAAGTGCAATTGAGAAAATTGTAAGATTTTAAAGTGTACAACGTGATGATTTGATATATCTGTACATTATGAAAGGGGAAATCATGTTAAAGTTTGTAACTTGGTTTTATGTCATTTATAATTTGATTTTATGTTATTTAAATTTCCCCTGAGGAACAAATAATTTTTAAAGGGAAAATTAATGAAAGAGGAAAAAACACGGAAAAACTAAAAAAAAAAAAAAACAAAAAAACTTTTAAAATAAAATTGAAAGTGGCTTTACTGATTAGACAAAAAAAGCCAGTTGAAACCAGAAGCAAAACCAAACAGTGGAAAATCTTCTAGAAAGTCACATCAACGAAAAAAGAAAGAAAAGAGTTAAACAACACTAAGAATAAGAAAGGGCGAATATAAACATGGATATAGACAATATTTAGGCAATTGCAAATAAGGCAATCTGGTAGAAAAATCTTAAGTGAAGTTTTGTTTTACTAGTTATCTAGACTTATCATAAGGCATATAATAATTAAGGCAGAGCAATTTGCCACTAATGGACCAGAAGTTAGAAGCAAGCATTCAAAGATGAGGAGGTTTCCTATAGGACAAAGGTGGCATTACTAAGCACCAAGGGAAAAGTGTGGAAACAAGCGACTAACCACTCGTATTCACCTTAGGTCCTACACTTGAACCATAATACAAATCCAGATGCATTAAAATTTTAACTGTGAAAAATCAAATCAGTAAAATAAAATAAACTAGAAGCAATTAAAAGAACTACTTCATCTTCGTTTCACCTAATCTGTCATTTTTTTTTTAAACACATATGAACCATCTATTCTGGCGAAATGGGTGAAGTATGAAACAGAATATACAGTCATGGAAAGATCTCGGTAATTATTATTTGCAAAGCCAATTTATAAAAAAAAAGCATGGTATGATCCTGGTTTTGTTGTCAAAAGCAATCATAATGAAATGAAGCATGTGGCCTAACTCTACATCAATATTTAGAGACTATCCCAGCCGACATCTCAGATATATAAGAAATACCCAGTCATTGATTGTCATTGTATGTAGTTAAGTCAGGTTCTAGACTCCATCCTCCCTGTCTTATGGACAATTCAATTGCAGCTGCATTGAGTCCTGTTCTCCTTTTACTAGTTACTGTCCCACATGTAGGTGGAAGATCTAATTGTCAACACTGATCATTTATTTTCCAGGGGAGGGATAAACATTTGAAATATGGTGTCTTTCTGCTCTTGTACATGTAGGGCAGAGAAATACTTATTGAAGCAGGAACACTTGTTAGGGGACACTGCCCTTGTAGAGGAACTCATGCAATCATCCTGGGAAGTGAAGGTGCTAGGATGGTGAGCCTGGACAGCAGGGGTCTCTCACATATTCCGTAGACTTCTATCTTTATTTTGGAGTGAAATTGTGCTCCCTGCTCCAGTAAACCTCAAAGATTTCTTCTTCTGGCTTCTTCAAACATATCTAAATAACTTCTTATGTGACTTTAAATTAGCTTAAAAGACTAGAGGAAACTGCATTGAAGACACTTTTGCTTTTATCTTTAAAAAGAAAAAAAGAATCCAGAGGAAAAGAAATATAAGTTTTGCATAACTGATTGAATTGGGGTTGAGGATAGGAGTGGGATACAGGATGGAGGAAGGAAAAATAGGGTAGATAAACAGAATTGTAATGAATATATGCTGATATTCTGATTGAGTATATGTGTAGGAAAAGATTTAGAATGACACCAAAGAATTAAAAATATTTCCTTTTGAGAATAGGGACACTTTTAACCTCATATAGAACTATAGTATCTGAAATATTTACAAGAATTTGTTACTTTCATGAATTATAAAATGGCTAACTCAAGAACCAAGGTAGACCAAATAAAAGGAGAATTTTTATAAAATTTCAGTTTATGATTATTAGGGCTATAACTAAGTTGAGGAAACTGTCTAAACTCCCTAAGATACTGTGTCCACTCATGATGGAGATATTGAGATGAAAAGTTGAATGTATATTTAAAACAAGTTCTTCATTATTTTTGAACTATTTGAAAAACAAAACTCCAATATGAGAAAAAAAATGAATAAAACACAGTTTCCAAAGGGTATATATTTTGAAGCTCTTGAAGTCCTTGGGCAGGTAATAAAGTTCAGGCAAAGATCTAGTTCTTCCACAAAAAGGAAGTATTTATTTATTTATTTATTTATTTTATTTATTTTTTTTTAGGAAGTTTTAATATGGTTTGAGACACTGAGAAATGCCATCTAGATGCTGCTTATTAGTCCAGAGACCATTAGAAACACGGAAGCAAGCTTCTGACAAGCTAGTTTTGATTTACTTTAGAACAATTTCATCTTGTTCAGTAGAATACAGGACTTAAAATCTGAGAGCTGGACAGAAGGATATATGTTTGCCTCTGAATCCCAGAGTTCTTTGTTCTAAGAAAAAGGGACAAAGAGTCAAGTAACCAGAGATATTAAAAACAAGCAAGCAAGCAAACAAACAAACAGTTGTTGGTTTAGTGAAGGTTCAGAGATTTGACATTCCCTACACCAAGGAGCTGGAGTCTACCCGTCACTGAGGAACCTGGACTGTAGAGACTTCATTTGGGAAAAACGTTTTGCCTCTTAACCTAAATAAAGCAAATTCATGCCATCCAGGTGAACCATAAGAAGATAAAATTAAAAACTAAAAACTTCTATCAAGTTCCAAATGGTGGTAGTGGAACAAATAAACCACCTGCAACAACGAAGAGAAAGAGGTATTATGATCTCCCATGGGCTAATTCAAGCGGTGAATTAGTAAATCATTAAAATTAAAGTAGAACATGTCATCATTCTAAAAGGGATGAATTAGTAGGAGAGTGTAGTGTAGTAATAAAATGCTACCAGATTCATGCTTTTCCAAATGCCTGGCTTTGCTGCCTATATTGTGAACAAAACGAAATTGTTGGCTCTACTCTCTGCCTCCCGCTCTGACTATAGCTCCTGCCATGGCCGTAGCTTCCTATCCTTGTTCTGCTCCAACCATTCTGTCTTCTTTGTTCTTGTCTGAACAGGCTAGAGACTGCCTATGAAATGTTGCTCCTTTGAAATAACAACCACACTGAAAAGTGGATTGCTTATTTAAACTGAGAACAATGACCCAAAGTCGGTGATGTAGAAGTTATTTCATGATTAAAAATGACAAGTTTCCTGATTCTCCACATGAACAGTAACATAAAAGGAGTGTGTTACGGTGCTGAGTCTTTTTTATTCAACATTCCATAAGGAAGCAGTAATTTTTATCACTGTAATACAGATGAGGAAACTGAGAAAAGCTAGGAAAGGTCAGAGCTGAGAGTAAAACTTTACCTTCTTTTTTTTTTTTAAGTTTCCTTTACTTATTTTTGAAATAGTGAGAGTGCACACAATGGGTAGGGGTACAGAAGAAGAGGGAGAGAGAGTCTCTGGCAGACTCGGCACTGAGGCCGATGTGGGACTTGATCTCACGACCCTATAAAACTCTACCTTCTTAACCAGTAGTCTGTATTAATTCCTCTGAGGTTATATATGATTGGGATATATGTATATATAATGAAGATCCCTGGCAGACTTATAAATTAAAAAAGCCCAAAACTTCTAGAGTTTTCTTGCAATGCTTGGCAGGTTTTGCTCATTCTCAATATAAAAGAATTATTTGTCAATGTACACACACATACACACACACAGGAGTACTATCCATGTTTTCCCTCAAAGCTATAAAAAGGTTACCTAATCTAAAAAAAAAAAGATATTCAGCTTCACATCTTATGAGATCCTCTATAGTTTTAATATCTGTCCTGCCCTGTAGCTATCCCCCAGCAATAAACTATACATAGGAATCATAGTGTAACGGGAAAATAAAGATATATAGTGACACCAATATGTGAAAGCAAAACATCTGGAAATTCAGTGAAAATATTAATAAACTCAGTGAAAAATTTGGTCAAAGTTTTTTTGATATTATACAGATAAAAATAAATGAGTATTAGCTCAGTTGAATAGGTCTTTGGTATTGTTTGAAAATAACATGACGAAGTATTCTAACTATTGTTTCCAGATTATTCTTTTGTGAATTTGGCCATTTAAAGTTAATCTTAGGTCTGTTTACAAATAGGGGAGGTATAAATAAATGTTCAAAGTTTGGTCAATGAATTGTATTATACTCAGAGACACAATAAATTAGCTCAGTGTTTCCAGGGTTTTCACTGCAAGAAGTAGACTTTAGAATATTGGTGTGGAAATGATGTAACATATATAAGACATTCATGTATAGTGGTTAATAACGCAAATCTCTTGATCATATTAAACAAATAGATTCTTCTAAAGATTTTCTCTTCTACTCCTAAAGTGGAAATAGAGGCAGCCCAGGGAAATTTTGACATGTAGCCTTGAGGTAAAAAATATGGCCAAAGGCAGAAGGGCATCCCAGAGATGGATCCTGAGAATGGAAACTATGTGGCATTGAAAAGAAACAACTTGGAGGAAATATGTGAGAATTTGTCTGGAGGATCCTGTAAACAGGTAGGCAAGTTCTCATTGAGAGAGAAAAGAAGGGACGCCAGCATGGCTCAGTGGATGAGCATCTGCCTTCCACTCAGGTCATGATCCTGAGGTCCTTGGATCAGGTCCCACAGGGAGCCTGCTTCTCCCTCTGCCTATGTCTTTACCTCTCTCAGTGTGTCTCTCATGAATAAATAAATAAAATCTTAAAAAAAAAGAGAAGAAGATATGTGCCTCCATTTTTATTTTGCTTTTTAATTTTTTTATTACGGTAAAATATATGTAAAACCATTTTTAGATGAACAATCCAGTGTCATTAATCATTGAATGTATTCACATTATTGTGCAACCATCATCATTGTCCATCTCCAGAACTTTTTCATCATCCCAAACTGAAACTCCATATCCACAAAATAATAATTCCCATTTCTCTCTCCCCTCAGCCCCTGATAAATATTGTTTTACTTTT